AGGGCCCAACCAGTGGGGGCGGGTCCCAGCTCAAAAGTGGCCAAAATGACGTGCGCTGACATGCTTGCAATACCACCCCGGGTCGATTGGGGTGGACCCAGAAGAAGAATTAGCCAATGCTAACATATAGATTCAGATTCAGATTCAGATTCAGATTCATTTTATTTGCCTTTTGCAGTAACACTACATTGGAATACATTAGTAAAAGTTCCCAGTGTGCACAGGACAAGTACAGACATAAAACAACATTAAAAGACAAAAATAAAACAAATTTTAAAAACAGTAAACAAATGTCACTGTGAAGTTGACCAACTAAAACAGATCTATACAAGTGCAAAAACATTAAAGTGCTCTATTCAAACTGATAACAGCTCGTGGAAAAAAACTATTAGCATAACAAGATGTCCTGCATCTCAGAGAACAGTATCTTCTGCCAGAGGGAAGAAGCTGGAACAAGGCTTTTCCTGGGTGGCCAGAAGAGTCATTGATAATTCTCAGGGCACTGTTAAAAAGTCTGGATTGATAAAGAGCCTCCAGGACAGGAAGTTCACAGCCTACAGTCCTCTTAGCAGAGCGGAGCACCTTGTTTAAAGCTCTCTTTTCTTTATCTGTGATGTTACCGAACCACACAGACACAGAACCAACAAGTAAACTCTCAATGGTGCAGCGATAAAAGTTCAGCAGAATCTTAGAGTTAGTGGTAAATTCTCTAAGTTTCCGCAGGAAGTAGAGACGCTGACGAGCTTTCTTTACGACCCGGTCAGTGTTTTTAACCCATTTCAGGTCATTAGACAGAGTTAGACCCAGAAACTTACACTCCTCTACACTCTGCACTTGGGAGTTATCGATTGCGACAGGCAAGTGAGAACTATTGCGACTAAAATCAAAGACCAGTTCACATGTTTTGGATGCGTTCAGCTGGAGGTTGTTAGCCTTACTCCACTGAACCACGTTTTGGATCTCGGCTCTATAAGACGATTCATCGTTATTACTGATGAGACCGATGATGGTGGTGTCATCAGCATATTTAAGGATCAGGTTAGAGTCTGAGGAAGACACACAATCATGAGTGTACAATGTAAAAAGTAAAGGACTCAAAATACATCCCTGAGGAGATCCAGTGCTCACAGAAACAACATCTGAAAAACAGTCATTGATTTTCACTCTCTGAGATCTGTCAGTTAAAAAGCTATAGATCCATTTACACATGGCAACACTTAAACCGAGAGACATGAGTTTTTCAATCAGTTTACCTGGGACAAGACAATTAAAAGCAGAGCTATAGTCAATGAACAGCATTCTTGCAACAGATTTACTAGTGTCCAAGTGACTGTAGACAGAGTTCAGAGCAAAGGAGATGGCATCCTCCACACTCCTGTTCTGTCTGTAAGCAAACTGGAGCGGGTCAACACTCACAGGGATCTGGCTCTTAATGAAGTCCAGCACAAGCCGCTCAAAAGTCTTCATAAGGACAGACGTGAGGGCCACAGGACGATAGTCATTAAGGCATGTCACAGGAGTTTTCTTAGGAACTGGAATGATGGTCGACTCTTTAAAGCAGTTCGGCACAGTACAGTTCCTTAGCGACAGGTTAAAAATGTCTGTTAAAACAGGGGCAAGTTGCTCAGAGCACAGTTTCAGGACACGGGGTGGGATGCCGTCCGGGCCAGGGGCTTTCCCGACAATGGTGCTGGACAAGACCCGCTGGACTACCTCCTGAGTCACGGTGAAGGTACCTTGATTGAGACAATCAGGAAAGACAGTAGGACAGGCATCAGCAGATTCGAAGCGGCAGTAGAACGAGTTCAGCTCATTAGGCAGAGCTGGGCCAACAGATCCGATTTTCCCAGCACTAGGTTTCCAGGACGTGATGGCTTTAATACCGCTCCACATGCGCCGAGGGTCATCTTCCTTAAAATAACCCTTTAACCTGTCCTCGTAACTGCGCTTTGCAGATTTAATAGAACGTTTCAATGCGTAACAGGATAGCTTATAGGCAACTGTATCATTTGATTGAAACGCCAACGCACGCTCATGAAGTTTTTGTTTCACTTCTGCGTTCATCCAAGGGTTTTGACTGAGATGTACTTTAATGACCTTCTGTGGGACACAGCAGTCAATACAGAAGCGTATGTATCCAGTCACAGCGTCACAGAATTCATTAACATCCTCTGACTGAAACACAGACCAGTCAGTGGCATCAAAACAACCTTGTAGCTTCATGCTAGCCTCCTCAGACCAACACTGCACAGTGTGTGAGGTTGGTTTATGTTCCCTGCTCCTCTGAGTGTATGAGGGAAGAAGGAGAACAGAGGAGTGATCGGACTTTCCAAATGGAGGTCTGAGACTGGACCTGTAAGCTCCCTTCACATTGCTGTAGCAGTGATCCAGGATCTGTGCTCCTCTTGTAGCTCGAGTCACATGTTGGTAGAAATTTGGGAGTACAGTCTTTAAATTACATTTGTTAAAATCCCCAGCGACAATGATCACTGCATTAGGATGAGCAGTCTCGTATTTATGAAGGATCTCGCTCAGATCCTGTAGTGCTACAGTATAGTCCGCTCGTGGGTGGATGTAAAAATATCACAGAAAACTCCCGCGGAAGATAAAAAGGGCGACAGCTCAAGACCAGGCATTCCAGATTTGCAGTACATGTTTGGTTCACGATGCAAGTATCCGTGCACCAGCGCTGATTAATTAAAAAGCACACACCTCCGCCTCTGGATTTCCCCGTGGTCTTCTTTTCTCTGTCCGCGCGGTGAACGGTGAATCCCGGGGGCTGAACAGCAGAGTCCGGTACGTTCGTGTGGAGCCACGTCTCGCTGAGACAGAACACAGCGCAGTCTCGGGCCTCTCGCTGGCACTGGATACGACACAGGAGCTCGTCCGTCTTATTGGGCAGAGACTGTACATTCGCCAGGTAGATGGAGGGCAGAGCGGTCCTGCAGGAGCGGCATCTCACGAGCAGACCGCCTCGTTTTCCCCGGTGTCTGCGCCTCCTACGTCGGCTCCCGGTACCCAGCTCCACACCGCGGAGAGCACGATGGAGACGCCCAGTCCCCCCGCTCTGTTCGCGGCCATTGCCGCGGCCCGCCTGCCATGTTTGACGGGCCTCACGAGTGGGGCACTCAATGAAGTCCAAGCACCGCAGTACGGGTAAGACCTGCGACACTCCGCAAGCTCGGTCCCGAATGTAGAAAAGTGTCTCTCGGTCGTACTTCACGGTGGCAAGTGTATCACAGACGAATATAAACAACATAGAACAGACAGTGCACACCAGAGCTCTTACTGAGGCGCCCTGACCCGGCGCCATCTTGCTCTCTCACTATCTATAGCGTTGGCAGACCTCTCAAAAACTTCTTTACAGGATGGACCAAAAGTTGGCTCTTGGCCCAAAGCTCCGTTCCACATGTGTGTCAATGCTGAGGGGGGTGAATTTTTTTGGTCCACTCTAGTTTACTCGCGGAGAATTTTTGAAGTCTCTCGTTCAAATGAATGGAACTGCGCCGGCTGACGCATGCGCAGATGCGTTTTTTCACAATTTTCTTGTGAGCGGGACAACTCGCGGCCCTCTTGGATTGCTCCATGAAAGCACTTTTCATGGCCAACTCCTATGAACGGCGGCGATAGATGTGACTCTGTCCGTTATTATATACATTCTATGGCCCCAACAGAGTACCTAGCATGGAGGAGGGACTTTGTTGGGCCCCGTAAAAGTTCTTGTAAATGGCCCTGTGGGGGATGTTCCTGCAGTGAAGACTATTGTCAAAAAAATATGAATCTGATACCGAAATAAGACCAAGCATACAAGAGTTAAAAATAGAACAACATTTAATATTCTTTACAATTAAATATTGATACAAAACTCTTGGAGCTATTAATTCCCTATAACTAACTCAAAGCTGAGCCATTTTAACTGTCCCTTCCAGGCCTGAAAATGTACAGAGAACATCCAGGCGTTCCGCGATGTGCTCTGTCTTTCCCTGCTCAGACTGCTAACAAAATGTCCCACCAGCACTTTTATCAAAATGTCCGATGACATCATATCGTGAGACCAACAGAGGCCCTCGTCTGGGTCCGGTCTAGTCCAGTTTTTGTTCCTGAAAATTATACTTATATCACAGAAACCTTGTCCTTGAGTCTTCCCTGAATTCACTAAACTCAGGCTAAATATTGCACAAAGACATTTTATGCAAACACCTAATTATAATCATTAGTATACAACATTTTAATTCTACAACACAACGTGTGCTGCATTTCTGGAATCTACAACAAGACACACGTCGACGGGGATGGCCCCTGGGCGGCACGGTGGCTGAGTGGATAGCACTTTCGCTTCTCAGCAAGAACGTCCTGGGTTCGAATCCCAGTCGGAACAGGGTCTTTCTGAGAGCGGTTTGCATGTTGTCCCCGTATCTGCATAAGTTTCTTCCGGGTACTCCGGTCTACTTACAATTACTTACTACCCTGGAAAAGTTCCTGCAGTGGAAATGCGGCAATTGTGTTTGCTAAGGCTCCTACTGACTAACATTTATAGAATCCTCTCTGCATGGTTGGAGTGAGAGCACGCATAAAGAAAGGCTCCGCAAGTCGGTGAACCCGTACTCAATAAACCCCTCCTAACTCGAATTAAAAATACTGTCTTCTAGGGGTGTGACGATATCGATTTTTCGATATATATCGATTTTTCGATATCGCGATACTTTCTCCCGCGATTTGATTATCGATATGCATTTGCCAAGTATCAATATCAATTTAAAAAAAAAAAAATAATATATATATTATATATATATATATATATAGATTATTATTATTATTTTTTTACATTTAAAAAAAAAAATTTGGTATCAATATTTAATATATGGCTACATTACGCATCTCCCTTCTATTTATCATGAAATAAAGAGTATTTTTCCTTTCATTTATGCCATAATTGGCTTTGTATCGTGTATCGTATCGTGAGGTACCCTTAGGTTCCCATCCCTACTGTCCACTGCAATATGAGTGGAGTTAGCAGACGTAAGGACCGGAGAACTAAGACAGATATATCGGGGATTCCTCAGCAGATGGAGAGTGACTGCGAGATCTCAGAGGAGGTAGCTAGCATCCCGGACTCAGCCAACACAGCGGGCAGCGCGGAGTTAGCCCAGTCAAAGCTAATGCTAGAGGGACTAGCAAGGATTAGCAACGAAATACAGGATATGGGCACCAAGATTCGCAGCGAGTTGACGGGGGCCAAAGACGAACTGAAGCAAGAAATCACTTACCTTAGACAAGAAATGGATTGAAAATTTCAAGAAAACAGTAAGTCACTGGAAGAGCACAATGCAAACCTTGTTGAGGCCCAGACGCGCATCGCCACACTGGAGGAGTCGAGTGTGGATTTAAAGGGGACATATCATGAAAAATCCACTTTTTGTGTCTAAATGCCTTATGTTGTGTAGTTGGAGCCTCTAGAAGTGCAAAAAAGTTGAAATCAGTCTCTTCATGGGTTGCAGAGAACACTTCATATTCTGTTTAGGTAAGATATTTCAACCCGTTCTGATTTTGCCATTCTCTATTACGTGTTTATTATTATTACGTCACAGTATTTGCAGCGAGACTGCCATATAAGGGCATGGGCGTCTAACAACACACTTCGGCCCAGCCCTCCTCTACTGCGCATCACTTCATTTGTAGTCCAAGCTCAAGGATGCCAGCGAACAGGGCTGGACTGGCCATCGGGCGTACCGGGCAATGCCCAAACGGCCGATGCCCATATTTGGGCCGGTCTGTCTGCCTCATACAAAACACATGTTTATGAGAAGTGTAAATCCGTTGAGAATTGTTCGAGCGGGGCGCAAGTATCCGCGGGGCACCTGCTGTATGTACTGGAACGGGATTCCGCCACCTCAGCGGCCGCAGTGTTCCGGGGCATCTGCGGCCGCTTTGTAATGAGCAGCTTCCACGTCCAGCGGCTGCGAGAAGCTGTGAGCGTCCAGCGGATGCGAGAGGCTGCGAGCGTCCAGCGGCTGCGAGAGGCTGTGAGCGTCCAGCCGCTCGCAGCAGCTCCACCGTGTTGTGGCTGAGCGCGCAGCCTCATCGTGGCCATGTACCCAACCCCATAAACGCGCACAGGACCATGCGTGTCTTTGAGTAATCTGTGCACCCAATAAATACACTGCTGCAGGAAACAGTCCGCGTCTCCCCTCTCCTCTCGAAGCGCGATTAAACGCCCTAAATAAAGCTCTGATATCTACATTTTTCATTGCATTAAAAGTTCATGTTTGAGCCCAAAAGTAAAATGTTGTGAACAAATTAAACAGATTTAGAGCCAGCAAATGGCTGACAATATGCATTTCAGTCTATTTTGACCAATTCTCATCCCTGTAACAAACAATAGTGTTGTCTGTGTCCACCTCCCTCACTCTGAGACATGTTTATTACTCTCTTTAATGTAGACTATTGCATTTTATTAGGCCCGAGCCCCGAACGGGGTAAGGGCCTATTGCTTTCACAATGGTGAAAACAAATGGTGGCGGTGCGTGACGGACGCGTCAGCGCCCGTCACTCACCAAAACGTGACGGTTGCGTGCGTAAACTCAAAAGCTTTAAAATGATGTATCACATGCCATTGAAACCTATATTGTTTTTGCTCGAGACGTTAACAAAAAAATTCCTTTTTTATTTATTAGGCCCGAGCCCCGAACGGGGTAAGGGCCTATTGCTTTCACAATGGTGAAAACAAATGGTGGCGGTGCGTGACGGACGCGTCAGCGCCCGTCACTCACCAAAACGTGACAGTTGCGTGCGTAAACTCAAAAGCTTTAAAATGATGAATCACATGCCATTGAAACCTATATTGTTTTTGCTCGAGACAAGTCACAAAAAATTCCTTTTTTATTTATTTATTAGGCCCGAGCCCCGAACGGGGTAAGGGCCTATTGCTTTCACAATGGTGAAAACAAATGGTGGCGGTGCGTGACGGACGCGTCAGCGCCCGTCACTCACCAAAATGTGACGGTTGCGTGCGTAAACTCAAAAGCTTTAAAATGATGTATCACATGCCATTGAAACCTATATTGTTTTTGCTCGAGACGTTAACAAAAAAATTCCTTTTTTATTTATTTATTTATTTATTTCTTTCTTTTTTCTTCTGCACTTTGAGCCTTAATTTGACCCCCTGAACATGCATGAAAAGTTGTTAATTTTGGCCCAAAAATCAGACCTGGCGAAAAATTTCATATTTTGGTGTTTATTTTTATGGGACTCAAAAAATGACAGAACAGCGCCACCTACAACAGCCAAAATAATACCCCTATGGGACTTTTCGGAGGTCAAGTTTGTCGTAGAGCCATGAAATTTGGTACACATGTTCCTCAAGTCAAGACAAGAAAAAAATATTATTATGGCCCCGCCCTCTGACAAACAGGAAGCTCATAAATTTCACTACAAAATGGAAAAATGAACAGCAAAAGTTTTCATACATGTCGGTTGGAAAGCGACTCCTCCTCGGCCGTTTCACCGATTCGCCTCAAAATTGCTCCACATCATCTCAACACATGTACCTTCAAAATGACCTCAGGGATTTTTGATCAGTGAAACATTGTTCGAGCAGCGGAGCGGCAAAATGTGACCTTTTTTTGGCCGTTTTTGACAACATTAAATTTGCTCCTGTTTGCACAAAGAAAGTCTGATTAGCACAAAACTTTAATACTTTGTTCAACTCTAGGGTCTAGGTCATTTGAAAGTTAAATGATTCAAATTGACACATTAGCGCCCCCTACAGACTATTTCAAAGTTTTAGATGGCCATTTTCAAATTTAGTTTTTTCCAAATGTTTGAAATTTAGCACATAAATCTGTTTTGCCCTCTTGATTCAAAAAGTCAATAGGGTCCAAGGCTTATTTTTTACCCTGTTGCCGTGGCGACAACAAACGCTCAACATTCATTGCAAATGTACACCTCACACAAACATCAAACCAGCCTCGGCCGTTTCACCGATTCGCCACAAAATCGCTCCACATCATCTCAACACATGTACCATCAAAATGACTTCAGGGAATTTTGATCAGTGAAACGTTGTTTGAGCAGCGGAGCGCCAAAAAGTGGCGTGTTTTTTTTCAGTTTTTGACAATAGAAAAATTGCTTCCGTTTGCACAAACAAAGTCTGAGTTGCACAATACTTGAATCCATGGTTCAACTCTTGGGTCTAGGTCATTTAAAAGTTAAAATTTTGAAATTGGCTCTATAGCGCCACCTACAACAGCCATTTTAAAAATGCCTATGGAAGGGGTTTGAGGTCAAAATTGTCGTAGAACCATGTAATTTGGAACACATGTTCCTCAAGTCAAGACATGGAAAAAATGTTATTTTGGCTAAGCCCTCTGACAAACAGGAAGCCCATAAATTTCATTGCAAAATGGAAAAATGAAAACCAATCATTTTCATACATGTCGGTTGTAAAGCGACTCCTCCTCGGCCGTTTCACCGATTCGCCTCAAAATTGCTCCACATCATCTCAACACATGTACCTTCAAAATGACCTCAGGGATTTTTGATCAGTGAAACATTGTTTGAGCAGCGGAGCGGCAAAATGTGACCTTTTTTTGGCCGTTTTTGACAACATTAAATTTGCTCCCGTTTGCACAAACAAAGTCTGATTTGCACAAAACTTTAATACATTGTTCAACTCTAGGGTCTAGGTCGTTTGAAAGTGAATTAATTCAAATTGACACATTAGCGCCCCCTACAGACTATTTCAAAATTTTAGATGGGCATTTTCAAATTTAGTTTTTTCAAAATGTTTGAAATTTTGTACATAAATCTGTTTTGCCCTGTTGATTCAAAAAGTCAATTGGGTCCAAGGCTTATTTTTTACCCTGTTGCCGTGGCGACGAGAAACGCTCCCCATTCATTGCAAATGTACACCTCACACAAACATCAAACCAGCCTCGGCCGTTTCACCGATATGCCTCAAAATCTCTCCACATCATCTCAACACATGTACCTTCAAAATGACTTCAGGGAATTTTGCAACGTTGTTTGAGCAGCGGAGCGGCAAAATGTGAGGATTTTTTTGGCTCTTTTTGACAACATTATTTTTTTTCCCGTTTGCACAAACAAAGTCTGATTTGCATTAAACTTGAATCCATTGTTCAACTCCAGGGTTTAGGTCAGGTGAAAGTGAAATATTTGAAATTGGCCCATTAGCGCCCCCCGCAGACTGAGTCAAAGTTTACATGGGGAGCCAAACCAGCTCTACTTATCATATTCATTACAATTTGACTAACAATCTTCTATGGCTATGGGAACAAATCACCACACGGCGGCGCCACCTCCTTTGAGCGGTGCTGCGTGGTACGGTGTGGTGCGGCGTAGTGCGGGGCGTAGTGCGGGGCGTTGTGGAGCGGCGCGTTGCGGCTTGGTGCGGGGCGGCGTGATGCGGGGCGGCATGATGCGGGACGGCGTGGTGCAGGGTGGCGTGGTGCGGGGAGTCGCGCGCTGCGGCGAGGGCCGTTCGACGCCGCTTGCGGCTTTAATTTATTTCTTTCTTTCTTTCTTTCTTTTTTCTTCTGCACTTTGAGCCTTAATTTGACCCCCTGAACATGCATGAAAAGTTGTTAATTTTGGCCCAAAAATCAGACCTGGCGAAAAATTTGATATTTTGGTGTTTATTTTTATGGGACTCAAAAAATGACAGAACAGCGCCACCTACAACAGCCAAAATAATACCCCTATGGGACTTTTCGGAGGTCAAGTTTGTCGTAGAGCCATGAAATTTGGTACACATGTTCCTCAAGTCAAGACAAGAAAAAAATATTATTATGGCCCCGCCCTCTGACAAACAGGAAGCCCATAAATGTCACTGCAAAATGGAAAAATGAACAGCAAAAGTTTTCATACATGTCGGTTGGAAAGCGACTCCTCCTCGGCCGTTTCACCGATTCGCCTCAAAATCGCTCCACATCATCTCAACACATGTACCTTCAAAATGACCTCAGGGATTTTTGATCAGTGAAACATTGTTTGAGCAGCGGAGCGGCAAAATGTGACCTTTTTTGGCCGTTTTTGACAAGATCAAATTTGCTCCCGTTTGCACAAACAAAGTCTGATTTTCACAAAACTTTAATACATTGTTCAACTCTAGGGTCTAGGTCATTTGAAAGTGAATTGATTCAAATTGACACATTAGCGCCCCCTACAGACTATTTCAAAGTTTTAGATGGGCATTTTCAAATAAATTTTTTTCAAAACGTTTGAAATTTTGCACATAAATCTGTTTTGCCCTCTTGATTCAAAAAGTCAATTGGGTCCAAGGCTTATTTTTTATCCTGTTGCCGTGGCGACGACAAACGCTCCCCATTCATTGCAAATGTACACCTCACACAAACATCAAACCAGCCTCGGCCGTTTCACCGATTCGCCTCAAAATCGCTCCCCATCATCTCAACACATGTACCATCATGACACACTTGTGTAGAGAAGCCAACGGAGCTAGCCACGCTCAATAAACAACTACATATCTATCAATCAACACCATTAAACGTCAATCGGACAATACAGTACACATATACATCCTTAACACACATGCACGGATGATTTCAGAATTTGCTGTTAACGTTTTCATGACAAAAATACTGTTTCAATGTGACAAAAAGCGATTGCGAAAAACCCGGAAGTTACCATGAAACAACTAGCTAGCTTAGCTGTTACCTGCCTAGCACGTCCCGGTGAAACCTTTGGGAGCTAACTATTTTATTTGCAGTCATTAAATACATTTCGAATTACAAGGGTTGTCTAAGATTTGTTCACATTTTTTATTCAATTATTTTGTTCATTTTTTATTTTAGAATTATATTCGAATTTTGAAGTCGAAGCCCTGGTGTTAAGCAGCGCTGTAGGGGCTAGAGGACGCAGGCTGGTCGCTGCTCGTTCTGTGAGCGGAGGAGAAAGAGCGTCCCGCTCAGACTCTACTCAGCACTTTTCACTGCTTGTAATTCTTACACAGCTGAATCAATTACCTCAAGTTTTCAATTAAATGATGTATTTTGATACAACTTGTATGTAGTAAAAAGCATTTTTATGAACTACTTAGAAAAAAAATCGGGTATAGCTTCTTTAAGAGACACCTGCGCAAGGTATTGTGGGATGCGCTTTACCCCATGTAAAGGAGTGTTACGCGGGAGCCTGTTCATTAAAAAGTACACACGAAGTAAGCTCCTGGTCTCGTCTCTTTATATATGTCGTATAAGCTAATACAGACATTACATGGTGTCAGAAGTGGCCCGCATGCAGCCAGGATATCACCGCGATGGCGAAGTTTAACCTACCGAGTGAATTTAAGTTTGACTGACCTGCTGAATGGCTCGAATGGAAACAGAGATTTTCCCGCTATCGGCTTGCAACAAAACTCAGCAAGGACAGTGGCGAGATTCAAGTGAGTTCGCTCATCTATTCGATGGGGAGCGAGGCTGAAAAGATATTCACTTCGTTCAACCTAAGTGAAGACGAAAAGAAAAGCTACGAGGCGGTGCTTAAGAAGTTTGACGAGTACTTTATTCCCCGCCGCAACATCATACATGAGCGGGCTTGTTTTTATCAGCGCGGCCAGCAGCCCGGGGAAACGGCAGAGCAGTATATCCGTGTTTTGTACGAGGTGGCGGAGCATTGCGAGTTTGGCGATAAGCGGGATGAGCACATCAGAGATCGCTTGGTAGTGGGCATTCAAGATAAAGAGCTGTCCCGTAAAGTTCCAACTCAAAGCAGACCTGACGTTACAAGAGGTGACTGAACAAATTCGCCAGGCAGAAGAGATCAACAAGCACGTCAGCCTCCAGTCCAGCGCGCCAGAGGCCATGGCGGTGAACATGGTCCGGCGGCAGAGCGGACCTCACACGGACAGACCGGGGCGTTATAGACCGCGCCAAGATGCAAGCAGCCGGCAGGGAACATACAAAATGGAGGGCTGCGGGAAATGCGGTAAGCCCAAACATTCGGACATAAAAAAATGCCCTGCACTTAAGAGCAAGTGTAATAAGTGTCAAAAACAAGGGCACTGGGAGCGAGTGTGTCACTCTAAGGCTGTAAGAGAAATCACTGAAGAGTCGGAGCAGACATACTTCCTTGGAGAAATTGACAATAAAACTGATCGAGATAAATGGACAGTAGACTTGGACATAAATGATGTGCTGACAACATTTAAAATAGACACTGGTGCAGATGTTACAGTCGTCAATCAGAGCACATACAAGATGATGAAGCCAAAAATTGAGCTGCAACTACCAAACACCAGATTTGTGAGTCCAGGCGGAGATCTCAAATGCATGGGGCTGTTCCAGGCTACCACCAAGTATAAAGAGCAGCAGTACACGTTCAATGTTTATGTCATAGAAGGGAAAGTCAGCTGCTTACTGGGGCGCCATGAGGCAGTGGAGATGGGCCTTGTGATAAGAGTGAACGAGGTCAGTACTGTTTTCAGCTCAGGTGGACTGCTGGATACAGAGCCAGTGAAGATAGTTCTACAAGAGGGTGCCCAGCCATATGCAGTACATACAGCCAGACGGATTCCCCTGCCCCTCGTCCCTCTGGTAAAGAAGGAGCTGCACCGAATGGAAAGCGAAGGCATCATTGAAAAGGTGACCAAGCCAACAGAGTGGTGTGCAGCCATGGTGCCGGTGCTCAAGCCCAACCGGGAGGAGGTGCGCTGTTGTGCAGATCTCAGGAAGCTTAACCGTGCAGTGCAGCGTGAAAAATATGTCCTGCTCACTGTGGAAGAGATTTTGCCCAGGCTGGCCGGATCCAGAGTCTTTACTTCACTAGATGCAGCCAGTGGTTTTTACCAGATACCGCTACACAAGGACAGTCAAAAGCTCACAACTTTCATTACTCCATTTGGGAGGTACGCATTTCGGCGGCTCCCATTCGGGATCACAAGTGCACCAGAGATTTTCCAAAGGAAAATGGCGGAGACTCTGGCAGGACTCGAAGGGACTGAAGTGTACATGGATGATATCCTCATTCAAGGAGAGAATGTGGAAATCCACGACCAGCGCTTGGCGAAGGCTCTGGCAGTCATCAAGGCAGCAGGGCTCAAGTTGAATGAACGCAAGTGCAAGTTTCGGCGGGACCAGATTCGCTTCCTCGGACACGTCCTCGACAAGAACGGCGTTCGTCCTGACCCGGACAAAGTCGCAGGGATTGAGAATTTCCCTCAGCCACAGAACATCACCGAGCTGAAAAGGTTCCTTGGTATGGTGAATTATTTGGCTAAATATGTTCCAGAACTGTCTACTGTGGGCCAGCCACTCTACGCGCTGCTTAAGGGAAACGTAGAGTGGGGTTGGGAGCCTGCCCAGCTCACAGCTTTTCAAAACCTCAAGGCTTTGTTGGCCACAGCCCCAGTTCTTGTTTTTTATGATGTTAACAAACCAACTGTAGTTTCAGCAGACGCGAGCAGTTATGGACTGGGAGCTGTTTTACTACAGCAGCACGGGGACCGATGGAAACCCGTGGCCTACGCATCCAGACGACTCAGCGACACGGAGACCAGGTACGCTCAAATTGAAAAAGAGTGCCTGGCCAGTGTCTGGGCGTGCGAAAGGTTCGAAAAGTACCTTTTTGGACTCGACAACTTCAGACTGGTAACCGACCACAAGCCCCTCGTACCCTTGATTAACAGCAAGGACCTGGACAACGTTCCCATCAGGTGCCAGCGACTGTTAATGAGACTCATGCGCTTTAATGGTATTGCAGAGTATGCACCAGGTAAAACTCTAGCAGTAGCCGACGCTTTGTCTCGGGGCCCAGAGCAGAGTTACGGAGATGAGAATTCCCACCAAGACGTAGCAGCACACATAGATGTAGTCATTAGTCAGGTGCCAGCCACCTCTCAGAGAATCAGTGAATTCAGGGAGAGCACTGCTAATGATCCACAGCTACAGACCGTTCGTAGTTTTATCAAATCAGGGTGGCCAGAGTACATAGACAAGGTATCGTTGTCAGTCAGAGACTTCTATGATGTGAGAGGAGAGCTATCTGAGCTAGATGGCCTGATAGTGAGAGGGAGCCGTATTGTGATTCCTGTAAACATGAGAGTAATGGTCCTAGACAGAATTCACGACGGGCACCAGGGTCTAACTAAGTGTAGAGAAAGAGCTTTACAGTCGGTTTGGTGGCCCAAAATGAGACAGGACATTTCTATGAAAGTGCAGCAATGTCAGTACTGTACAGAGAACAGAAACACACAACGAAAAGAGCCCTTACTTCCAAGTATACTCCCATCCAGGCCATGGCAGAAGATAGCAGTAGATCTATGCGAGTTCAAAAAGCAGAACTACTTAGTTGTATCTGACTATTTTTCTAGATTTTTAGAAATACTGCATTTACCCACTACTACAAGCAGCCAGGTTGTGTCTAGACTTAAGGCTACTTTGGCACGTTATGGCATCCCAGAGGTGATAGTTAGTGACAACGGGCCACAGCTAGCCTCTGCAGAGATGAAGGACTTTAGTAGGGAGTATGACTTTGCCCATGTCACGTCATCTCCACACTTCCCTCAGAGCAACGGACATGCGGAGCGAGCTGTCCAGATTGCAAAGAATATCTTGAGACAGAACGATCCCCTACTGGCCCTCATGACATACAGGGCCACTCCCAACTCTTCCACTGGAGCCAGCCCCGCTGAACTGTTGATGGGAAGGAAACTTAGAACCACCTTGCCTATTCTACAGGACAACCTGAAACCAGGCTGGCCTGATATGGACAAAATCCAACAGGCTGATGCCTCAGCTAAACAGAAGCAGGCACACTTCTACAATCGCAGACACAGAGCGCGTTGTCTGCCACCACTGAGCCCAGGGGACCCTGTGCTCACTAAACTGGATGGACAAAAACAGTGGACGAGGCCAGCTGTCATTCAAGGTACCAGCTCCACTCCCAGGTCTTATATAGTGGAGACTGCACAGGGTGAGCGCTACAGGAGGAATAGGCGCCACCTGCTAGCCGTACCTCACAGGGCCACACCTGAAAATGTGGATCCTGTTGCAAACTCACAGACTGTGGACTCTGAGATGACCAACACTGAGCCCGCAGTTATTACACCAGAGACTGTTACATCCGGATCCGGGATGACTCGCTCTGGTAGAGTTAGCAGACCAGCAGCTAAACTTGACTTGTAAGTAATCAGACTGTAGAGCAGTTTTACGCCTATAGCTAATGTTTAAGTCCGCACAGCTTTTGTTATACCTTTGGTTCTATGGGGGTTTATAAGTAAGTGTCCTCTTTCTATTTGGGGAGAATGGTGGGTGAGCATAAAATTGGAAATGTTCTGTTGATACTTTCATAGTAGTACCGGCCTAATGCGTTGGAAATTTGAATTGAATATTCTTGTGTAGCATCCTGGTGTTTGGGGATTTGTGCTACAAGAACATACATTTAAAATGGTGTTAATACATGGGTAAATCATCTGTAAGAAGGGGAGATGTAATGTATGGAATACATGTACGGTCTCTTTAAGAGACACCTGCGCAAGGTATTGTGGGATGCGCTTTACCCCATGTAAAGGAGTGTTACGCGGGAGCCTGTTCATTAAAAAGTACACACGAAGTAAGCTCCTGGTCTCGTCTCTTTATATATGTCGTATAAGCTAATACAGACATTACAGCTATTATTCATGTATTGTGTGTTCCTTTTAGTCTCACATTTTAGTGTTTTACTTATTGTATTGTTTTTAGTGTACCCAGTGTTTCCTCTGGAGGAGCCCTCTGCACTGGGAGCAGTGGTCGGTGTGGCTGCGGGGGTCGGACTCTTGGGCCTGGTGGGGGCCTGGGGCCTCGGTTTCATGTCTCCTCTGGGTCCTGTGTCGTCCCCTGTGGCTACGGGCGGCTCTCTGCTCCTGGTGCAGACGGCTCCTTGGATGACGCTTTTTCAGCTGGTTGCATCTGAACCCTGCCAAGTCTCTTATCATGGTTTTATTGTTTTACTGGTGTGTGTGTGTGTGTGTGTGTGTGTGTGTGTGTGTGTGTGTGTGTGTGTGTGTGTGTGTGTGTGTGTGTGTGTGTGTGTGTGTGTGTGTGTGTGTGTGTGTGTGTGTGTGTGTGTGTGTGTGTGTGTGTGTGTGTGTGTGTGTGTGTGTGTGTGTGTGTGTGTGTGTGTGTGTGTGTGTGAGAGTGTGTGTGAATGAGTGAGTGTTCATGAGAGCGTGTGTGTGTTTGTCTGTGGTTTGGGGTGGGTCTGTTGGGTGGGGAAGGGGTCTTGGGTCGGCGGGATTGTTTTTAACCAAACTGCAAAGCACTTTGTGCTGCATATTTTGTATGAAAAGCGCTTTATAAATAAAATAAATATATTATATAATAATATAAATACCATAAAAGGAACAGAAGGTATATCATTGTAAAAGGGAAGCTTGATGATGTGTTAATAACAATAGTTAATGTATATGCTCCCCCTGAAGCAAACAAACAATTCTTTACATCATTATTCAATGTGAATTATTTCAGTAGAAAGTGAGGGTATTCTCATCTGTGGGGGGGACTTCAATGTAGCCTTGAGTTAGACACTACTAGTACCCATAAAAATAAAAATCTGTGACAAAATTTCTTAAATTATCTCTAGAAGAAATGGGTTTGATTGATACTGCAGTAAATCTGTCAGGGTTCCCCTGCTCTGGACGCTGCAGAGAGGCCGCAGCACCACAGCCCGTTTCGTCCTGTAGGTTCTTTTAGTTCAACAAGAGACAATACCAATGTTAAAACAGTAATAGAAATGACAGACACCAAACCTGATTTCAGATGTTATATTGAAGATTTGCAAGCAACCTTACAAGAGTAACGGTCTGCGAACAGGTCTCGCTTCGCGTTGAAGATAAGAAGTGGCCCTGGGGACGTCTTTCACCCTCCTGGTCAGAAGAAGCCCCCGTGCCTCCTTCTGTACATCTTTTATACTGTACATCCAAGGTCACTGACATCACAGATTCGTGGACTCTATGACTTCTTCTGGCCAGCTGCCAAAACCTGCACTTGCTTGATAACAACTCTAGTTTTTCTCACTTTTCATACAGAACTGCTACTATTCAGAAATAATAACCTTGACCTAACTGCTCTTTAAAATTTACACAAACAAGTGCTTTCTAGACCTAATCATTCTGACGTTTAAGTTGTTTAAGTATTAATTTAGCAACAGAAACAATACTAAACTGATTTTAGTTTAACTGGTGCAGGAGGCCTCTAATATTCCAACAATACGAAGCCAGGGGTAAAAAAAAAAAAAAAACTGTGAGCACGGATTATTAAACTGTGAACACGGATTATTAAACTGTGAGCACGGATTATTAAACTGTGAGCACGGATTGTAAAACTGTGAGCACGGATTGTAAAACTGTGAGCACGGATTATTAAACTGTGCGCACGGATTATTAAACTGTGAGCACGGATTGTAAAACTGTGAGCACAGATTATTAAACTGTGCGCTCGGTTTTAATAATCCGTGCACACAGATTGTTAAACTGTGAGCACGGATTCTTAAACTGTTAGCACGGATTGTAAAACTGTGAGCACGGATTGTTGAACCGTGCCCACAAATGCAACACGTGAGCGCACACATTGCTCAATAGGCTATATGCACCAAGCCCCGGCGATCCATGATGGCGCCCTATTCAAATGAATGGTTGTGCTCAGTGGCGCTTTGTGACGGCATGGGGGCTGAAAAGATTAGCGGAAGTTGCCTGAAACTCGCAAAGATCTATGGGAAACTCGCAAAGAACTTTGGGAGTTTGCCCTGTATTTGGGCATCGTCTGGTCCTCCCGGTTCTGCGCAGTGGATGATCTCCCATAATGCGTTGCGTCAAACACGCGTGTGTGGGTCTCACACCAGGTCTCACGCACGTGCACAGAGGGGCTCGGCCGCGCTCTGACCAATCAGAGCAGTTCATCAGAGCGGGAGTTAGAGCGAGAGCCAGACGAGCAGAGTTTGTGGCAGTAAAGTGTGGATTTAAACAAAACCGAAGGATTTCAGAAGAAAAAAAGTTCAGGATGACAAGGGACACTAAAATCCCCACAAAATCCTATCTTTAATAAAGCTGTAGGTTCTCTGTCAGCTGAGGTCGAGCTGTTTTAATATGCATTGAGTTCTATGGGGAAAATTTCTGGGTAGCCCACGTGAATTTAGTCTGGTTCAGTCTGCAGTACCGCGAGAATCCCCTGAGCACATGAGTTATTCAGCTACAAGCTAGTAATACCTTATCCAGTTATTATAATAGATCCATGATATGCACGCATCACTTCCGGGTTCTGCGTCAGATGAGATGTCACTTCCGGCGCCGCGTCATACCCGGTCTAGCAACTACCACGGAAAATGGCAGATTTCACTCGTTGTTTAATCGAGATCCCAAAAGTCTCGGTTAATGACGTCCGACGACTGGTCAGGAGTGTGTCGATAACTCCACAGAGCCTCATGGAGAAGGGGTTTAAGTTGTATGTTTGTTCGTACATCATAAACTTTGAAGGTAAGTTCACAGGCTCTAACTTTTGCTAACATGCTAACTAATGTGACTGCCTTTTAATACCCGCAATGACCCATTCGTATCGAGCTAATGTTATGTACATGTGTTACGATTAAAGTTGTTTTTCTAATTACCAGTGTCAGGTAAAAATTCTCTGACAGGCGAGGTGACAGTTAGAGCCCGGTGCTACCACTCTATGAAGAAGTCCGAGGCTCCCCACCAGCTGAGAGTAGGACTTAGTCACGGCCATCGTTCTGGCATCTCTGTTGTTCAGTCCCGTTGGACTTTGTCTTTGTCTTTGTCCCGTTGGACTGTTGTTCTGTTGTCCTGTTGGACTTAATGTTGTTCTATGTTCTGTAGAACATGTTCAAATATGCTTTTTAATATAGGGGAAGCCACGCTGAAACGTTGGTAGGCAGCTAAGTAGGACGAGAATTTGTCTGGCAGCTCTGATTTTGATTACTCATGAAAGGTTATTAAACAAACAGAAAAACTTTCACCCTACTTGGCTGCCTTTTACATTGCATTAAAAAAAGCATGACACCGTAAGACAATTCCTCTAAAACCCTCTATTATTGTTGCAGATTACACTCCGTGAATCAACCCCAGTTGTGCTTGTTGGGAGTTCCTGCTCTTGTGTGGCTGGCCAGGCACTGTGCAACCACATAGTTGCTCTGCTGTACCAGACTGCACATTATTGTGAGAGTGGGATGTCTGTGGTGCCACCTGTTCTTTCCTGCACTGAAACCGAGCAAAAGTGGCATAAACCGCGAACCATGGTTGGTAATAATTTATGTGGTATAGCTCATGTAAATGTCTTCATTGTGAGATCAATAAAGTGTCCTATCTTAAACCAACTTTACAGGGTGTGAAACCGGTGTGAAGCCGGGGCGAGTGGACACAATGGTGGTTATGAAGGCCACACCAGGAGCTTCTGCAACAAGCGGAAAAAGGTATTTATTTATTTATTTTTTATTAGTTGGGGCATTACTTGAGGCACACATACAGGACAGTAGCAAGAGCACACACGATATACAATATAAGTAGCTGCTGTGTTTCTTAGCTAGCTGTAAATGCTTCAATCAATCTGTATAAAGGAATACACATATAGGGCAGGATAAAAAGTAGATCATGATAATCTGAAATTGCAGAATTCTGCATTCTGAAAACCGTTGCAGGCAACCTTAATTGGAAAACTTGTTTTCACATTGTGTTATTATATCCGATGCACAATTGCATTAACTGTAATTATCATATTTCCTTAGATCAACGCTCTACAAGGCTTACAGGGGTGAACTGCCAGTACCGTCAACACTTGATCCTTCAGCACACTATGCTGCTTTTGACCCAGATGTGCTGCCATTGATCTGCCAGATGAACATCTCTCCTGACAAGCCACTGGTAGATTCAGCTTTTGGAAAAGTGCAAGCTGGCAGTGTGCTGTCCTACCACCACCCTCCGCCTTCAGCCCAGGGTGTTTGCCTAAATAAGGATGCACCACCCTTTCCCAAACTGCCACTTGATGACTACCATCTACCACCAACCGAGTGTAATTTTGTGGCAACCTCTCAGCAGCAGCTTCACCTGCACTCCCTGCACGTGACCTTGGCCCAGTGTCACCAAATTGAAGCTTCAACCAGAGGTCAAAGTGCAGCAGCTGAGTGGCATAGGCTGTGTCCAAAACGGTAGGCATCGGGCCGCGTATGGTGGATATGTAGGCATCGAGGGAAGGCCGCGTAGCCACAGGCGAGGTAGGAGGCGAGACGTGAGGTGGATTTGGACAGCAGCTGCCTTCTGCCTTCGTCACGTGACTACACAACTCAGAGCGGAGCGGAAGGACACGGCGGCCATGATGGACGGTAAAAAGTTCTAAATACGCTTTAATTAGGACATAAAAGTTAATTCTAATATCATTTGAGGCGAGAAATATCCCCCTTTATTGTCATATCAGAAGTCTGTTTGGAGATAAATTCGAAAATTTTCGGACTTTACCTCCAGCCTGAAGCTCCGGTGCTATAAGCTAACAGCCCAGTTAGCTGCAGTGCTGAAGCCCAGAACAGGCTGTCTAAACACGGGTTCAGGTAATGAGAGCCCCCTGGATGTTTACAATCGTATTCTGAAAAAACAGAGGATGCTTTTGTTGTTACACTTTCTCTGTTATAACAACAGTATTGGCAGTAATCATTAGTTTTTACAAAGTTATATTTTATGTAAACAATGCACATATATGCAATAAATGATTATTAGATATGGATTATATATTTGCTATGGCCCTCGTTTGTGCATCACTTAAAAGTAATTTTATCAGACCTAAATGTATTAACGTGTGTTTGCTGATGAGAGAGAAACATCCATTTATCTATAATAATAACTGACACATCCATTTATCTATAATAATAACTGGAACATCCATGGAAACATTAACAGACATCTGTAAAATGGAGTTGAACACAGATGTTTGACACTGCTCTTATTCACTTTTATGTCTCTTGAAAAGCTAACAGACCGTTACTAATCACATTTGAGTTTAATGTATTCAATTATAAGTATAAGTATAAGTACTGCTGACAAATATGTAGTTGTGTAAATAATACCTCACTTTGATGACTCTTTACATTTCACACAAACAACAAAATCATAATAAAACCAACAATTTTTGTTTTCTTTATTTCCAGGTTCCTCTGAAGTGCTGTCGATGAGACCTGTGTCAGAGGCAGACGCCCAGGACTCTGCTGTTGCTCCTGCTGCTGTTGCTCCTTCTGCTGCTGCTGTTACTCCTCCTGTTGCTCCTTCTGCTGCTGCTGTTACTCCTCCTGTTGCTCCTTCTGCTGCTGCTGTTACTCCTCCTGTTGCTCCTTCTGCTGCTGCTGTTACTCCTCCTGTTGCTCCTTCTGCTGCTGCTGTTACTCCTCCTGTTGCTCCCTCTGCTGCTGCTGTTACTCCTCCTGTTACTCCTCCTGTTGCTCCTTCTGCTGCTGCTCCTTCTGCTACATGTCTTCAGAGATGCAGAGCCCACTGTTCTAACTATTCATGACTGCTGATTAAAGGAAAATATTATATACAAGTTTGTTGTAGTTCATAATGTTTTCAGCAGTGAAGCAGGAGGTGATGGAGGTGAAGCAGGAGGTGATGGAGGTGAAGCAGGACGTGAAGCTGGAGAAATTATGACCTTAATTTCACCACAAGTCTCTGAAAAAGAAGAACACAAACATCATGCATTAAAACACAGCCCACATTTAGGATTCTTTTTACACTTCATATTCAATTAATACTATTTATTTGGGGCTTTGCAAAAAACTGGTTAAAAATAAAATACAGAAATCCTTACAGTATTTAATATTAGAGATACAAGCTTCACAGCAGGGGAAACAGAAGAATGATATGATAGAAATATACACAAATAATCAAGTTTTATCAACTATTGTATGAAAAGGGCTTTATAATTATTCTTGGCCTATTCTATAATTTCATATGTCTAATATATACAGTTTTCCCAGTCTCAGTATGGGATTAAAAACGATATGCACAATCTATTTTATATGAATACAGAAAACATGTGTTAGCATACTATAGCTGCTGTGCTGCAGAGTGATTTTCCATGAAAACGTGACTATTTCCTCAGTGTAGCTTTAATATTTAATCAGTGGGTTTGTTTCTCCCTAAAAGATAAAACACAACATGATTTTTCTTGTTCAAAAACCGAATCTGAATGAACTAGCCTCGTAGCATTAGCTTTTCGGGACTGAGCTTATTTACAGCAGATAACAAGGTTAAATACACACATCTGTGGCAGATCTAATTTATGTCTGTGTTTTATCATAACAGTCGTGTTCATAACTCAACAGTAAAGTATAGCAGTACTTACTATAGACATAACTTCACAGTAAAGTATAGCAGTGCTTACCATAATGTTAGCTCCAGCAGCTCCGAGCTGTTGTTTACATGTTAATGCCAAACGGAGTTCTGCGCATGCGCGGCCGTGACTTGGCAAAAAGAAGGCAACGAAGCATCCTTCATATCTGCTCCAAAAGTGGCCGTTTCCATAGAGACGAAGTCATGATGCCTACGCTTGGCGAGCTCGCCAAGTGGTTTTGGACACCCCTGCAATAGCCGTCGCTTGAGGAAGTGACGTCACGATGCCTACATATCCACCCTACGCGGCCCGATGCCTACCGTTTTGGACACAGCCATAGTCTCAGACGAGAAAGGGTGACCTCCTCTCATTTCAGGGAAGTCTGCCATGTTAGAGGATCCACGTCTGCAGAGAACCTGGCTGAGAGGATCCTTAGGGGCACAAGACCTACTGCCATCATGAGAAGAGGGCTCGACATGGAAGCGGGAGTTTTAAAGGAGTACGCAGCCATGAAGAACGTGAACCTATCACAATGTGGACTGGTCATTCATCCTGATGCGCCCTGGCTTGGAGCGTCACCTGATGGGCTGGTGTATGATCCCCTGGAGAGACCCACATGGGGCTTGGTCGAATTGAAATGCCCGAATGTGCAGAGCTACATTGACTGCAAGTACCTCTCAGTGCAGCATGGCCAACATAAGCTTAAGGAGAGCCATGCGTACTACTGGCAGATACAGGGACAGCTGCTCATCACTGGCATGACCTGGTGTGATTTTGTCATCAGTGCAAATGACAACATGTTTGTGCAGTGCATTTACAGGGATGACACAGTGATATTAAGCATAAAGGAGCGATGTGATTTGTTTTCTCTCCAAATATTTATCCTCAAATTGAGAACCCTCCCTTAAGATAACCTTTGTTCGTCCCACAGTGGGAACATTTCATTGTTGGAGCACACATACAGGACAGTAGCACACAAAATAAATAGTAATGTTTCTTAACTAGCTGTAAATGCTACAAGTCTTAAAAAAAAGTAGTGCAAAGTTATTGTGTTTACTGGATGTGCATGATTTTGATTTAGTGCATCTTATTTTGTTTCTGTTCATGATTTAGTGTTTGACTTGTGTGTGTGTGTGTCATTTTTGAAATACAATATTACATTTTACAAATCAATGTCTGTTCTGCTTGGTACCAAATCTGCATATACTGGTTTATTGGGCATAACTCCCACAAATTGCACTTTGCTACAATTAGAATAAAGACAGAGTATTTACTAATTATCTATTTAATTAAGGACATTATGGTGTATTTCTGCACAGCCCAATAGCATAAGTAAAAGGACAACATAGTTTAGTTAGAAGTCTTAATGCATTTATTTGCTAAGTCAAGGGTTTAGAGAAGTGGATACAACATGTATCTAAGTATTATGGAAAGGGACAAGGCTACAAAAACAACTTAGCTTTCTCCAAACATATACATAGCCCTAAATCACAACACAGATCAGAAAATCAAACACACTACATGAAATGATAGAAAAACATTGGTATTGGCCCATAGGGGCCGATGATTATGGAAAGGGACTGGCCCAGGCTTTCACTAAAGGTCCGTTCTCGTAGTTTACAAGCAGACAGGCAACAACATAAAGCTGATTAATATTTCCAGTTGAAGACAAGGGGAGCACTGTCCTGAACAATTTGTGTTCCTTCACCCTTCTGATGACACGCTCCACGTGACCTCTAAGCCTG